AACAAGCTAAGAGCATAAGTGCAAAAAAATGCTTTCATTGAACTATTTACATATGCAAGAAAAAGTTTTCATAAACTTTAGTAAACGACAACCCCCTTTAGATTTACCGAAACTCCTTTCGTACGAGGAGGTACTCGGCAGTCCAATTGTGTATAGTTCCTTCGGGGATGTTTGAAAATTCTGCATCATCTGATGGACCATCTTCGGATATTGCTGTGACAGCCCCACCTTCCCCTAAGGCGAACCAAAGGGGTTAGCGGACTGCCTGTCCAACTCTCGCCAGGACTAACGGTTCGGTATAGAGCGAACTAATACGATCCGAAATTTACAAACGCGCGTAAACAAGTCAAAATGTCAAAATAAAACCGGAGTCGGCCATGAATAGTAACCGACCGTCGAAACCTCAACCAAACATCAAGCAAATATTTACATGTTGAAATTTAGCAGATACAATCCAAAGCGGCATACCAAAGTGATTCAAAAGTGGATACAAGTACGATTTGCCAAATCAAAAGAGAAACGGTCCCAAAAGTACATTTAGGGTTTCAATAAATGAGCTATACAAAAGGTATGTCCAACTAGCTCAATTCGATAACCAATTATCAATTGCAGTCCAAAAGTATTTATTTTCCTGTAAGGAAAACAAAAGGAATAGGGCGAGCTAATTGCCCAGTGAGATAATACTACTCAAGCAACCAAGTTCATAGATACATCAAGCTTTTCAGTCCAATTCATCAAAAGTAAATAAAGACACACATCAATAATGATGATAAAAGGATACGGGCGGCTCTCAAGAGCTCTTTTCCTCATTTGCATTTTTGATCGGATCTCATTGACTCTCCGTCAATGTTTAAAAGTAACCAACCGTAGACTTCACTTTACTTCCATTCCTTCCACCTAACATTCCCCTACAGGGCCCGAACTCCAAACACTTGCACTGTGGTATTACTCGAGTATACCGGAATCGAGAGTTTCGCATACTACAAGATTCCATATAACTTTTCCCAAGACTCATTAATTGTCACGACCAAGCCCTCGCCGGCTCGATTCAATCAACTACCAATGGGGTTGAGCTCAATGATAACAATCATGGTCGTTGGATACTCGTCCAAACGACACCAAGTCATGTACTTTTATTTCATGTAACATTCCAATAACATGAGAAATAAGTGAGAGTGATAAAGTACACCCTCACTTCAATCAATATCAATGGTGCAATAACATTTAACTCATCAAGTTCAAGTATCAAAGCCAAGTAGTAACACACAAGTGAGTAGTACACTCACCAAGCTCGAAAGTGATATTTCATGCACTTCCGTCAAAGGAACGTCGTGAACCACCGTCACGCCCTAAAACACGCAAACAAGTACAATGAGACTCGATAACGAGTCATAAACCAATGCCAAATATTCCCAAAATAGGGTTCCATAAGCACACACAAGCAATAGAGGAAACCAGAAAAATCCGGAAATGGAGTAAGTGTTAACCCGGAAAAAAAATAGTTTTTGACGTCATTATGCGGTATTGGCACCAATGGCACTACGATTATCGGATGAAGGTGTAAGACCAACCATTTCGAAGCTAAGAGATAGGGCTACAATATTACAGAAGGTCCCTCAATCCAGTTTCGAGTGTAACCAGGTCAAAAATGCAATCTACTACACCAGAACCGCAAAAATAGATTCACAGAACGCATTCTAGTGTAAACATCATACATCAGCCTACCTAAGTCCAAATCCAGAAATTCCAAAGCCATCTGAAAGCTAAGAAACAGGGATACATTTCATCAGAAGACCTTAACAACCAATTCGGAAGCATTCCTGACCAAAATAACCAATTACAGAAGCAATTCCAAAATTCGGGTAAAACCAGGGCAGCAAGGGTAATTCCATCTTTTCTCAAGTTACGCTACTCCGATTGACCTGAAATTTCGTAGGATTCTCTAAAATATTATTCCCTAAAACTTTCATGTTTTAACCCAAGGCCAATTCGGCCTCTAACTATGAGCTACAAAATCGGGCAGAATGTAGAACATTAAAACCCTAACTTTTCAATTTTCTTCCAAAACAGAAATTGCTTGCAATTAACCACTTTTTCCACCTTCTAGCTTCCTTAATTACCATTTCCAATCATCATACATGACCACATAATCATATTGATATGAAAACAGAAAAATCCCCAATAATTACAAAATTTCACCAATTCAACCAAAATCAAGAAATAATCCATAAAATTGCATCTTATACTACCACTAATCATGGATTAAACATCATTAAAGGGAGGAGAGGGGTCCTTCTCAACTTACCTTAGCAAGACAAGAAAGAGGGCAACTAGTCCTCTTACCTTTCCAAATAACTCCACAAAACAACTCACAAACACTCCCTTAAGGGTTTCTATGGAACAAAAACAAGAGTAAATGGTTGATTTGGTAGATTGGAGCAAGATTGGAGCAAACTTGGAGAGCTTTCTTTCTTCCTTTCTTGAGAGAGAGGGCCGGCCACTAGAGCTTGGAAATGGAGGAATTTTTGGTAAATTTTTAGCTTATTTAGTCAATTGGTAAGACATGGAATAGTAGTCAAAAGTTTCTACCAACCCTATGGTGACACTTGTCACCATCATTAATTGCTTGCCTAACTTTTGTCTCTCTTATACCAATCCACTTAGCATCCTCTACTTATCTCTTAACACCCGGTAAATTAATTTCAATATCCAAAACTTAACCTAGTTGGCCGAATTTTTCCGAACTTTTCGCACTAGTGGATCCCACGTTCGATATACACTCTTAATTTCACATGAACTAACTTATACTAGAAAAATGATTTAAAAACTATATTTTGCTCATAAAAATTATCTGGGGAATTTTCTAATAAAGAAAAGGTATAAAAGTGTGCAATTAAATAAAATAAAATAAAACCGTGTAAGACCAACCGTTTCGAAGCTAAGAGATAGGGATACAATATTACAGAAGGTCCCTCAATCCAGTTTCGAGTGTAACCAGGTCAAAAATGCAATCTACTACACCAGAACCGCAAAAATAGATTCACAGAACGCATTCTAGTGTAAACATCATAAATCAGCCTACCTAAGTCCAAATCCAGAAATTCCAAAAACATCTGAAAGCTAAGAAACAGGGATACATTTCATCAGAAGACCTTAACAACCAATTCGGAAGCATTCCTGACCAAAATAACCAATTACAGAAGCAATTCCAAAATTCGGGTAAAACCAGGGTAGCAAGGGTAATTCCGTCTTTTCTCAAGTTACGCTACTCCGATTGACCTGAAATTTTGTAGGATTCTCTAAAATATTATTCCCTACAACTTTCATGTTTTAACCCAAGGCCAATTCAGCCTCTAACTATGAGCTACAAAACCGGGCAGAATGTAGAACATTAAAACCCTAACTTTTCAAATTTCTTCCAAAACAGAAATTGCTTGCAATTAACCACTTTTTCCACCTTCTAGCTTCCTTAATTACCATTTCCAATCATCATACATAACCACATAATCATATTCATATGAAAACAGAAAAATCCCCAATAATTACAAAACTTCACCAATTCAACCAAAATCAAGAAATAATCCATAAAATTGCATCTTATACTACCACTAATCATGGATCATTAAAGGGAGGAGAGGGGTCCTTCTCAACTTACCTTAGCAAGACAAGAAATAGGGCAACTAGTCCTCTTAGCTTTCCAAATAACTCCACAAAACAACTCACAAACACTCCCTTAAGGGTTTCTATGGAACAAAAACAAGAGTAAATGGTTGATTTGGTAGATTGGAGCAAGATTGGAGCAAACTTGGAGAGCTTTCTTTCTTCCTTTCTTGAGAGAGAGGGCCGGCCACTAGAGCTTGGAAATGGAGGAATTTTTGGTAAATTTTTAGCTTATTTAGTCAATTGGTAAGACATGGAATAGTAGTCAAAAGTTTCTACCAACCCTATGGTGACACTTGTCACCATCATTAATTGCTTGCCTAACTTTTGTCTCTCTTATACCAATCCACTTAGCATCCTCTACTTATCTCTTAACACCCGGTAAATTAATTCCAATATCCAAAACTTAACCTAGTTGGCCGAATTTTTCTGAACTTTTCGCACTAGTGGGTCCCACGTTCGATATACACTCTTAATTTCACATGAACTAACTTACACTAGAAAAATGATTTAAAAACTATATTTTGCTCATAAAAATTATCTGGGGAATTTTCTAATAAAGAAAAGGTATAAAAGTGAGCAATTAAATAAAATAAAGCCTAGAAATTCGGTAAATTTTCGGGTCCTCACAATTGCTCCCACAAACAACTGAATCAGACTTGTCTCCACTTCATCAATTGGACTAAACTCAGATGTAATCACTTCAGCTGGCCTTGGAAAGGTATAGCGTAGTGGCAGAATGTCTAAAGCACCTTACTTGCCTTCTTTTTCTGCCCTTTTTCGTGCTTTCATCTCTTGTATATCTCTGACAGTTGGGCGAAATCCTAACCCAAAAAGGCCCCTCTTTTCGATAAGTTCCACTGTCTTCAAGATGCCTTGCAGATTACGGCCCAATCCCTTATCAAATTTGTATCCTCCGCGAATCATCTCCTTGGCCATCATAACACTGACCGCTGGCAAAACTATTTTGTCTTTTGAAACCTCACTTGTTATCCAACTCACGGAGACAATGTTGGCTGTACGGTAGGAAGACACTGAAGCATTTCGGTTACCGTCCTCTTTTGACTTGGAATCAGCGATCACAATGCAATCTTCTTCGGCAAAAATGGTTACTAGATGATCATTCATTACAAACTTCAATACCTGATGCAATGAAGAGGGCACGACGCCAGAACTATGAATCCATGGCCGCCCAAGTAAAATATTATAGACACTGGGAAAATGCATGACTTGGCAGGCTATCTGAAATTGAGCGGGCCCCATTTCGACCACCAAATCTATTTCTCCTATAGACTCCCTTTGGGCTCCATCGAATCCTCGAACTATGGTCTCTGAGGGTCTTAATTTGACACCTTGCACCCTAACTTGATCAAAGTGTTCCAGGGACAAATATTGAGAGCAGACCCATTGTCAATCAGTACTTTAGGCAACATTTTGCCATTGCACCTCACAGCTATATATAGAGCCTTGTTATGCCCAGTTCCTTCTGCAGGTAGCTCTTCATCAGAGAAAGTGATTTGCTTGGAAGTCAGTACATTCCCAACTATGTGCGAGAAATTGTCGACTGAAATATCCTTGGGAATCTGAGCTTTAGTCAAAACTTCAAGTAACGCATCCCTGTGCAAGTCAGAGGAAAAAAGCAAGTCTAATATGGAAATTTGGGCAGGCATTTTGTTCAGCTGTTCGATCACATTATACTCGCTTCTTTTAAGCCTCTTGAGAAAATCCCATGCTTCTTTTTCGGCCACAGCGGGTTTTGGAGTCGGCTCATGGTTGCTTAGTTTGATTGGGGCGCTGGCAGTGGATGAACTTGCAATCTTTCCTGACCTCGTAACAGCAGACACTTCTTCCTTCAAAATTTGCTTACCCCTGATTTGCAAAACGGGCTCACTATAATTCCTCGGCACTTGTCGTAAACTTAAAACCGGCACTTGTTCTGGGAATTCAATTACCACAGGTTCTAAGGCCTCACTTTCAGATAGAGTTAGGTCTAGAATGAAGGGCTTTTTGTCTTCCTCGTACGGTGCTTCCTCTATCTCAAAAGGTTGATCCATTATCCCAAACACTTCTGTCTTATTTGACATGCTTCGGACAAGCTCTTCGAATTCCTTATTATCCATGATAACTCCAATAGTATCGGCGTGCTCCGGCAAGGGGTTCTTGCTCACATTCAGTCCTTGCTCTTCTTTTTTCTTAATCACGATTTCCCCTGCTTCTAACATGTCTTGAATTTTATGCTTGAAAAGTCGGCAATTGGCAGTGGAGTGACCAGGTGCCCCTGAATGATAAGCACAAATAGCCTGTGGATTGTACCCAGCAGGCATGCCATAAGGGTAGGTTGGAGGGGGGATCACGCCTATTTTACCGGCAGCCTTCAATTGCTCGTACAACTGGTCCAAAGGCCTGCCTAGGTTGGTGAAGATTCAGGTGCGGTTTTGATTATAGGTTCCAGTGGGTTGGGGATAACTATAGGTGGATCTGTTTAGTGGGGGAAATCGCTGGTTGTAAGGAGGATGAGGACGAGTTTGTTGAAAATTTGTTTGAGATATTTGGAAAGGGGTTGTAGGCGGGTTGGGGTCATTTGGGCGAGGTCGGGGGTGGGCGATATTGGTATTGTAGACAGGGTGAGGACTTGGATAGTAGGGATAAGGTGGTGAATACGTTGGGCTGTGTTGAAATCTGGGTCTTGGTGTAGGGTTTCGGTCCCAAATAAAGGCAGTTTCCCCCTCTTTCTTCTTAAAAGGTGTCTTTTTTCACATTGCTCCCTTGTCCTTGCAAAGCTTTCAACTGCGACTTGAGGGCAGAGACATCAACGATTTTCCCAGCTCTTACAAAGTCATCATACGCTTCAAGCTTATTGACAATAGCGGCAAACGAGCATCCAGCCATGCGAAAAATTTCCTCAAAGTACAGCGGATCATGTGCCTTAATGAAGGTGCGAATGATTTCGTCCTCAGTCATTGGTGGCTCGACTTTTGCAGCTATCTTCCTCCACCTTTTAGCATATGTTTTGTGGTCCTCAGATGGTCTCCTCTTTGTGCCTTCCAATGTAGTTCGTGTCGGAGCGAGCTCGCAATTATACTCGTACAGCCTTACAAAAGTATTGGACAAGTCAAGCCAGGTCTCCACTTCCTCCGGTTTCAAATTGGAGTACCAATCGAGTGCATCCCCCTCCAGACTTTCCGGGAATAACCTTAGAGGCAGATTCTCATCATCTACGGGCCTTCCCAACTTGTTAGCAAATAGTCGGAGGTGTGTTTGGGATTACCCGTCCCATCATACTTGTTAAATTTAGGGGTTTTCAACCCCTCAGGAAACTGTACATTCGGAAAAAGGCAAAGTTCATCGTAATCCAGGACTCCTTGCTTGTTCAACCCCTGACTCTTCCTCATAAATTCGTCAAAACGGTCCAGGCGCTTGAGCAACTTCATATCCACAGGAGCAGAAGATTCTCCTACTTCTGGTTTAGCTTGGACAGTGTGGTCTGGCAGGAAAGGCTCTGCAGTGGTGTGATAAAAGGTATGTGGCTCGGGGGGTATATTCGAAGTGATTTGGGGTTGTGGACCTTGCATGTGAGTAGGAAAGAATGAAGGATTAGGCGGGTAAGTGTATGTCAAATTTGCAGTGGTATAGGTGAAGGTTTCTTCGGGTGGAATAATGAAGGATGGAGTAAAAGTGGTTTGAGTGGTGGGTATGACAAACGATTCTGGTTCCGGTTGACTGACAGGTGCGGGTTCGGGTTGAACACCACCGCTGATAAGCTGATCAATTAATTTCCTCTGGGCCGCCATCTCAGTGGTCATCTCGCTGAACTTAGCAAGCATCTCGGTCAGTTGGACCCCCAAATTTGCAGTCTCAGGTTGAGCTATAGTGGCGGACCTATCCAACGGTTCGGGTTGTGAACTCATGTTTACACGATTCCTCTGGGCTCGACTACGGGATCGCGTTATGATGGGGTTTCGACGAGAAGCTATGTTTAAATATTACCTGAGAATTTTGAAAGGAATCGCTTTTAGATTTAGCCGTTGCTTAGCTATTCCAATAAAAATAAAGAAAAGGAAAAAGAAAAAGACAAGAGTTAGTAAATATCCAAAAAATTCGGATGCATGTCCTATGGGGGAACCCTTTTGTGCCAAGGGTAGGCCTAACATGATGCTATACCTTCGGGGTAAAATCCCAATTTCAAACCTGTAAGTGAATATAAAAGCAGGAATACTCATTAAACATGACTAAACTCAATCCTTCTTTACAATCTCATTGAAGATTCGACTGACCATTCTTACAAAATCCTCATGTCTGGCTAATCTAGTGTGTTGAGATTCTCTAGAACTCCCTATACTAAGCTTCCGAATCTCAACTTGGATTTTATCAAATGCATCCAACGCCTTTTCCAATTTCTCGATTTTCCTTGCCTCTCTCTTCAATTGCGATCGGGCGTCTTCCAATGCTTGGTCAGCCACCATAATCTGTAACTGGTGATCCTCCAACTATTTCCTTAGTTTCTCATTCTGCTCCTCGAGACTAACGGAGACCAGCGGTAACCCTTCTTTTCCTTGTTCCACTATCGATTTGATCCAGTCGTCGTATTCCAAGGTGACCTTAGGCTCTACTTTATTCACTTGGTCCAAATGCAGGTTATCCAAACTATGCAGATTCCTCCAAGCTTCCAGCACTATACTCCGGCATTCGGTGACTGTATTGAATTCGATGATTCCCATTCCTTGTACGGTCGGTACTCTCTGCGGATACCCAAACTATCTCATAACTCGCTGCGGAACGTACATAACTAACCCACTGGTGCTTGCTAACGGGATGAAACCAAGTTGTGTAGTCTTGAAGGCCGGATCCCTTACTTTCGTCCAATCAAGAACCCATTGTATCTTATCCGAAATCAAAGCATCGAATTTCTGAATAAACAAACTCAGAGACTCTATTCGATAGTATCTTTTAACCCTTTCTCGGTGCGATTCAACCCAATTTGCTGTTGGAAGACATGATCCCAATGGATTCAGTGTTCTTTTTGACAGATGCTCCATTGCCCACATTTGAAGTACCAGGTTGGATGCGTAGAAAAACCCTCTCTTCTTTTGGCATTCGGTAACAGCGGTGAAGATGTCAGCAATGATAACGGATACTAGGGTGGGAGTTTTCCCTTTAATTCCCAAAAACACACTCTGAACCATGTTGACCGTTGAGAAAATAACTTTTCCATGCTTTTGCGGAAACAGAAGTAGATTAATCAGGGTTATTCCAAAGGCTTGCACACGTTTCTCCTCCCACTGCTCTCTACTAATGAAGAAATCCTCGTGGTGATGGTCATAGGCTTCCTTTTCCCCAAATCGCTTGTATAAGAACTCCAGCGGGCATGATCTCGCGTCCGGGTGTTGGTTCATGCTAAACTGTCTCAACCCTAGGAACCTACAAAATTGTTCTCTGGTGCCATTCGTTGGGTATACCATAGGGTGACCTTTCCCAGGTACTTGCAACAATCCTTCTATTTCCTCCAGGGTTGGTGTTAATTCGCACTCTCCAAATCAGAAAACGGAGCCGTCCGGATCCCAGAACTCGAGCAAAGCTTGGATAATGGCTACATTCGGGGTTATGTTCAGGAGACTAGGTAAATGTCCTATATACTGGAAAAGTCTATTCACTTCGTGTGCCATATTGTTCTTCCAATCTATCAGCTCACGAGGTATCTGATTTAGCATTCTACATGGAGCCATCTGGGAGGAAATTCACTTTTAGTACCTTACCCTGGGATTTTCCCCCTTAGGTAATACAGAAATAGTAAACATGTAAGTCCCATTGGATTAAATATCCGAGATATGTGGTGGCTTATTCCTAACACGGAATTCCCTATGTGACATTCCCTTTCTATGGTTTATGTGTGATGCCAGTTTATTAAAGCAGTAAAATATGCAATTTGAAGTGAAACATGACCTAAGGGACCCTTTATTTGCCAGGGTAGGCCTAAAATGATATGGCATTATTAATTTATGAACGAAATATACCAAAATTTCTTAAACGTACAATAGCCTATCTACAAGGGTAGGTTCTACAAGAAGATCATACCAGACCTTTTATCTCTTAATGTTTGTGAATGCAAAAGGCAAGAAACAAGGAAAGTTAGCTCAACACATAACACATTGTGGCAATCAAATAATAATAAAATATAGAAAGCAAAAAATAAGGTAAGAGGGTTGGAATCCCCCCCTCGTGCATAGTGTCCCTAGTTCAGGATAAGGTCGATCTACCCTAAGGCACTTCTAATATGGATGCATGAGGTTTGGCTCACTAATGCATCTAGACTCGATAGGTCTCCAGGTTCCCAAGCCTTCAGACCTAAAGGTGAAGGGTCATCAATCCCAGGACCTTTGATCGGTGGCTTGAGTGATCCCTTAGGCATCGCTATGGGCGCAGTGCACACCATCCGCCTACCTAAGGAAATCAATCCTAATCCTACAGGGTGGTGTGGGAAACGCCCACGAAAAAGAAAAAAATAGGGTAAGTAAACTATGCATGCACGTATGAAGTGCTTTTTATTTTGAGGGGAGGGATTGTACCATTAGATGCGGTCGAAGGTTTTAGGGTAAGTACCCCCCATCCCAAAATGCAATCGCGAAACAAGTAAAGAAACAATCCATTCATCACATACATAGTGTGCGAGGAGTGATTACGCGCGTCGTAAATGCAACAAACCCTAAAAAAGAGGAAAAAAGGAAAAAGGAAAAGAAGAGTGCAACCTAATACTCCAAATATGATATATGAAAAGGTTAAAAGAAGAAAGAGATTGACTAAATCAAATTTGCTCGGACTCTGTAAGTCCCCAGTGGAGTCGCCAACTGTCGCGCCCCATTTTTAAAATAAAAATGAAATCAATAATGCATTTTTAGAAAAAGTGAATTTTGGTTTAATTTTTGATTTGAAAAAGGATTTTTTGATTTAAAAAAGAAAATGGGCCTAAATGGGACTTGTAATGCGACGACTTGGGCCCAAATTATAGTTTAAAAAGGGTTTTTGAAATAAAAATCGAAGTCGCCACTTGGTATTGAGTTAAGGTGTACCAAGTCACCTAAAAATGAATTTTGTAAAGAAAAAATAGAAAAATCCTTTTTAAACGACTCCAAGTCCATGAAAATTAGAGAAAGTGTACGGGAGTCACATTTGACGAAGGGGAAGGCAAGGATTGAAATCCGAAGCACCCCTTCGACCTAGCCAAGGCTAGTTGCATGATTTAGTCAAAGATTTTCTTATTTTTAACCTAAAAATTTATCACATTTGGATGTACTATATGGATGCAAACCCTTGACCTAGGAGTGTGTCGGGGGGGCAAAATATCTCTTCAAAGTCCAATTGGTGCCACTCACATTAATTGTGATGCCCAATGAAGATTTTTCGAAGAAGTCACGAATAATGCAAAAATATGAGACTCTAAGAAAAGAAAAGGAATAAAAGAATTATACAAATATACATGTCTTAAAGGAGTGCATCATGTCGGGTACGGGAGACTAATGTTCGTGACTCAATTTTCCCTTTAATAGAGGGAATACGAGCGTGCTAAGGCTAGAAAGCGAAACTCGTCCATATCCCATATTCAAGGGGTTATCCCTAATCTAATCAAACAAATGTACTATCCTAATTCTAATTCTTAAATGAAATGCAAATCTAATGTTATGTATCACACATAGGGGTAAGGAATATACATATAAGGGGAGCATGGGGTAAGGTATATATATATACAAGGGAAATGTCATGCAAAAATGATAAAAACCCTAAAAATAGAAAAACATGCATGAGATGAAGTGATTTTATCACACAATCATGATCTAACGCTCGAAGGGCTCCTAAGGGTCTAGCGTTGGACTAGACCACATCTACAAGTTCTCACCAGCGTTGGACTAGTGGAAAATCGGAACAAAGAGTCACAACTAGCATTGGACTAGTGTGGATTCGAGAAAGGGGGTCACATCTAGCGTTGGACTAGTGTGGTGACGACATGCATTTGTTACAATCAAATGAATATCAAATAAATCATGTAAAACCTAATAAAAGCATGTGAACACATAATATCACATAAACACATAACACATAGTCATGATATCTAGATGCAAGACCCTAAGAAAGCGGTAACACATAGCACATAGTCATGCAAATCACACAAGTAAGAAATAAAGCAAATAAAGACCCTAACTATTACATTAGGGAGGCCCTACTACAATCTAAGGGGGAAGATGGAAGATAAATAATTAAGCTAAATACCTAACTATTACAATTTTGGCATTTAAATGCCTTTCAAATAACCAAAACTAAATTAAAAAATAAATATACAAAATTAAAACAAATAAAGTGACTAAATAAATAAATAAAATAAAAATATTCAAAAAGCATGCAATTTCACACATAAGTTCACATAGGAGCACATAGGATCAAATAAAGTAAGAAATAAGGGATAGGGTGTACCTCCCTTGAGTTGGGGCTCTAATGGAGTGAAATTACTTATTTACCCTCCAAAATAATAAAAGGGTCAAGGCATCACTTTAATCAATAAATATGAAATTGAATCATTAAAAGCATTTAAATAACTAAACAGTCCATATTCACAAAATTAGGATCCAATTGAAAGGAAAAGAAAGTTCAAGGGGGGGTCAATTTGATTGATTTTTCACTTGTTTGGGCCATAGTAGAACAAAAAGGGACTTGGAAGGTTAAGAGGCAATTTTTGAAAGTTATTTTTTCATGCAAGTTCATGCAACTACGTAGAAGCTTAAGCTTCTGCATTTTTCCCAACACAAACTTCGGACTTCAGCACACCGCCTTTGATCAAACTTTTCAGACTCCAAGCTAAACCATGAAACACATAACTACCACAATCCGAACAAGCTAGAAACTTATAAGGAAACCAAGCATT